ACTGAGGTGACTGGTGGTGGAACTCCTTCTCCCTTGCCGTGGGTCGGTGGAATATGGGAGTTCTTGTTGGTACTGAGAGAAGCATGGGTATATATACAAATTTCAGTACCGAACAAGGGTTGGGAAAAAGAGGGGTTGAAAGTGGGGTAGTGAGAGAAGGGCGAAAGTAATGACTAAAAACGAATTCGTTTTTAACGTTAAGTTCGCGGAGGAAAATGAAAAAACTGATAGCAGAAACGGATAGACATAGAAGTAAAAAAAAGATACGTGATTTTATGTTTAGAATTAGCAAAATAGGAAAAAGGTCTTTAAAAAAAGAAGTAGAAAAATAATGTCTTGCTCATAAAAAAAGTAAGGGGGAAACTACAGCCGCATAAGGGTAAAAAAATAGTAGAAAAGAAAAAAATAGAGTAAAGCCAATTGATTATAGTAAATGAAACAAGTTTTTAAGTAGAAAGATAGAAGAGCGTAGTTATGTACAAGAACGGTTGTAGCGAATGGTGCAGGTAGTTGGAGCAGGTAATGAAAAGGGAAAACCGTACCTTTTAGTGAATAAAACAGTACAAGGTACTTGAAATAAGTAAAAAAAAATTGAACAAAAGTCAGTTTGTTTTTATATTTCAACCATGTGTTATCCATTCTTGTAGATCCTTTTTTTTAAACAGTGGTAAAGACTCTTTTTTTTATATATTTACTGTTAAAATCTAATAAAGCAAACTGAAAAGTTTAAATACTAAAAATGTTTTGTTCCAAGAAAAGAATATATTAAAGTTTCTTCAAATAGTTTAACTCATAAATCCACCGAAAGTAACAATTTTTCATTTAGTTTTGCGAACTTGGTCTTGCAATTTCGGTCTTGGTTTTAATCTTGGCCTTGTTCGTTCGGTCTTATTTTTGGCCTTGATAATATAAAATAAAGACCAAGACTAGGACTGCAATACCAACACCAATTTTGCTCATTACTAACTCTGATGTGGAAAGTCATTCTTGTGGGAATCGGAAATTAAGGTCTATCTGATCTGAATTTGGGAAAATTAAGAAAAACTATTCTTATTCCTATTACGATTATATGTAATTGTTACCTTAAAGCAAATAATAACATATGTAAATTGTGGGAGTATGTTATATATTTGATAGATAGCATGAAATTTTAATTTTGGACATGTCGCACAATTGCCGTCGACGTTAAGATATGTTGTTTCCTAATCGTTTATTTTTTAATATTAACTCTTACTATGTTAAAATAGTGTTATTATAAAAACGAGCATTCAGATATGAACTCAAGATACAAATTTTCTTTTGTCGTCCTATTTTCATTATTTTTTTGACATTTGTCAGTAGTGTGAATGAGATATACAACCCACAAATTAATACTGTAAAATTAATGAATTCTGCTATGATTTAGTTGCATAGCTGTAAAGAATGTATACGAATTATCACGTATTTGTAATTTAACCTGTAATTTACTCAAAGGAGTATATCATCTTCTGCATCTCAAATTTAAGAAGACGTGTCGCATTTTGCTCTTGACTACTACTTTAAAACACTTATTGAAGTGTTGCATTTTGTATTTATACTTCTTTATTACCTACTATCACAGCTCAAAACTGATAATGTTACTATATTTAATTTGACTGATACTTTCAAATGATCCATTGAATCAGCTCCAAAGGGTATAAAATTTTGCTATTAACCTGTATTACAGACGCATGACCCATATTCTGGATATGTCTGTGTTCGGAGCAATGCTCCAGGTCTAATTAAAACCAGTCTGAATTCTGCAGCTTCTCGAAAAAGAACTGTGACTAACGATGTCTCTAATCCCGTCAAAACTAATCCATTTTCCCCTACAACTACAACTTACATACCAAACTACGCAAAAACAAACATTAGGGTAAGTATATATCTATGTTTGTAGATATGTAGGCATTTACGAGGAGGCGTTTTTAAGTTCGCTGAATGGGGGGTAAGAAGTGGAAATAAAAGTACGAATTTATGTTTCCTTTTCAATATATTTACCTGCTACCCCTGCACATTTTTTCTATCTTTGAGGCATAGTATTCTCCGATTATGGAGACACCTTTATCTTTATAATCGATCAACAGGATCCCTTCTGAGTCTCAAAAGACTGTCCCCATGATTTTCCCAGCTGACTGTGACACCTGTTTGGACTCAGATTCATAATGATGAACCCATGTGCCCACAGTAACAATTCGAGTAAATATTCCATCTTTATATTCAATACAGAGGTCTAAAAACGCGGGAGAACACTCCAAACACTGTTGTTTTTGAGGCGGAGTGAGTATTCTCGGCACCCATCTTGCGCTGACTTTAGTCATGCCAAAATGATCATAAAGAATTTTTCTGCTTGTATTTGACACTCCTACCATTTCTGCGAGCTGTTTTTTCTTAAGTCGGGCATCTTCTACTATTAATTTTTCGATTTTTTAAATGATTTCCGGAGTGGTCAACTCGATCGGCCAGCCTGGCCGTAGGTCGTCTTCAAGTGAATCCCTGCCTTACTTAAAGAGGGTATGCTACTTGTAAATCATAGTTCTACATGGGCAAGAGTCCCCGTAAACGGAAGACATCTCTTCTAGTATGGTTTGAATTGACTTTCTTTGCTTGGTAAAGAACTCTACAACAGCGCGCTGCTCGATTTTCTCCATATTTCCCGATTGACTTGTTTCGTCGACGACAGTTTAAAGATTACTGACCTAATTACGATAAAAAGCTTGGTATTTATACTAATAATGAGGTATTTAATACCTAATGACTCGAGTAAGCACCCTCACTAATGACCTACCTATCCATTCCGCGAACATAAAAATGCACCCTCGTACATAGAAACTGTACTCCTGTTATCCAATTATTTCATGCACGAATAAAGTAATTTAGCTTGAGTTAATCAACTTTTGTATTTTTTGGAATACTAAAAACTAAAAGGGCGTTTGAACTTGCATTAATTTGTTCTTTGCTGCTTTTTCAAGGGTCGGTTATGATTTATCTTAATAATAATTTAGAAATGAAAAAGAACAAATCAAAAATATAACAATCATATTTATTGAGACTTTGTTTTGCAAGTGTTTTGTTTTACAAACGCATTTCAGAAGATATGAAGTTGTTTAACGATACGTCGAAATATATAAGTTATAAAGTAAAATGCCTACACTTGACTTGACAGCAATTATTGCATCTCGCAACTTAATTGAAAAAGTCGATAGAGCAAGTTTGAAGCTCTTACATTCCTTTCTGACTACGCCATTGATAACAAGTTCTGCTATGCCTATATTCGATCTGCCACTGTTCTAAAGTTGAACTGAGTACTTTTGTAATACTTCATAATACTTTTTGCATACATGAAAAAACGATATCACATCCATCTTGTTTTAGGTATAAAGTGCACAAGGTAAGTACAACTTTATTTATTAAACGTATTAATTGATTAATCGAAATAATAGATTATTTAGATTAATCGATCATTTTTACAAACTGCAGATAATCGATTAATTGAATCCCTCGGATGCGTTTTGATATAGATATTATTCTACACATTCATCGGATAATTTTTCCAAAATTAAAATCTAACTTGACTCCACTAAATGTTTTTGAAAATTTGGAATGCCAAAAATCAATCTAGGGTTGGAAAAGACATAGTTGAGGTATTTTAAAAAGTAATCAGTTCAGCTTTGGAATCAGAATGGAGCAATAGAATGCATTTCTTAGCAGTTTTCTGATTTTTATTTTTTTTTTAGCTTTATCATTCCAATTTCTTGATCAACCACACATAAAACATAATTTCTTTTTGAATGCTCTCCCCATTTACATATTTTTCTCATTAATGTATTTACATACTAACGCTACGTTTTATCATGCTCTTAGAAACTGATATAAACGTTATTGTAATAAAACTAGAAAGTAGAAAAGAAGCTATTGATAAATTGTAAAAGTTATAGATTGCAATAAAAAATTTATTGGGATTCATTATTTTCTAGTCCGGACCCAACATATCAGGACCGAGACCATTCTCCAGTGGTCCTCTTTCGCCCTCCGGAAATAGCTACTCCACCCTTCCCAAAGTTACTTCCACACCTCTTTCATCAGGTAGGCGTTATTTGTGTAATTAAAAGTTAATTGATATTTTCTGAATTTAAGAATTAATTTAGCTTTGTACTATTTAATCGTAATACGTTATGTGAAAATGACATAACTTTGAATTACGAAGATTGAACTTTTGTCTATATATACGAGGTCTATTCAAAAAGTATCGCGAATATTGAATTTCCGCGGGTTAGGTATATTCGATTTTCGATTCTTTTGCAGCGTTATGTTGGTACTCATGTGTTTCACTTATACCGATAAGTTCGGTCATGTTAAATGTTCAGTTAATTTTTGACAGCTGCTTTGCTTTTACGTTTTTTGGCTCGTCTTCGATTTCTGGCTATTCCAAAAAATGGATCAAAGAGTCTATAGCAAATTTTGTGTGAAAAACGAAAATAAGTGCGCGGATGCTTTCTGAATGTTAACTGGGGCATATGGCGACGCTACCTTGGACCGAAGCAACGTTCATCGGTAGTACAAAATGTTCTCAGAGAACCGAGAAGATGTGAACGACGAAGAGTGTGTCGGACGCTTGAGTTCGTCAACAACGGACAACAACATTGATGAAGTCAAGAAAATAGTATTGACCAATCGTCGAAACACCGTTAAAAAGGTTGCTGAGGACCTAAACATATCGAGCCATTCAATTTTTACCAATAATCTGGGCATGAGACGGACCGCCACGAAATTCGTAACAACTGCTCAATTTCTATCAAAAACAGCATCACATTAACATTGCTAAGGAGCTGTTGAAAACCAAAGCTCTATCATCTCAATGGATGTTGCCGCACGAGCCAAGACTGAAAAAACCGCGCCAAGTTAGGTCGAATGAGAAGGTTTTGCTTACAGTTTTCTTCGATTGCAAGGGCGTGGTGCATCATGAGTCCTTGCCATAGGATATAACGATCAATAAAGAATATTACGTGCAAGTTATGTGCAATTTGCGAGAAGCAATTCGCCAGAAATGCCCGCATTTGTGAATGAACAAAAATTGGCTTTTGCACCATGATAACGCCTCTGCTCACACATTGTTGCTTGTGCGCGTATTTTGGGTAAAAAACAACGCACTGATATTGTCGCAGCCACCGTATTCCCCAGATCTGGCCCCCTGTGACTTTTTCTTGTTCCCGAAACTGAAGAGGTCCATGGAAGCACGACGCTAGGCTACGATTGAGGAGATTGGAAATAACGTTGGTACAAGTGACTAATATCTGATGGAGATTACTTTGAATGGGACAAAATAGATGTACAGACGACTCTGTACGTTACACGTCCATTTAAAAAAGAACTTCGGTGTAACTATTTCTATATTTTGTTTTTGGATATTAACCGTTAAAAGATTGGAATGAAATATTTAGAAACTGCTAAACTATTTATTATATTTACAAAGGAATTAAAAGTGAACAAAGTGAACGTCTACAATGATACTGATAGAATGCTTTCTGTACAACTTAAAACTAACTTAAATACATAAACAGACCTCCTGAAGGGAGAGAGGGTGAACAGGCTGTACCAAGCTAGTAATAATTAAGCAGTACAGATATTTTGACCCAAGGGGTCCGACAAAGGTACCTGAAGGGCAATAAACTGAACAAAATAGGACTTCACAATTGCCTGAAACATGTTGTTAACTTGGATGAAATATTTTTGTGAATTCCCACATAACTATAGAATTAAAATATATGTATATACAGTCAGGACTGAACAATAGATATTCATGAATAATTAAATAATTTTCGAAAAAACACAAAATTTGCGATACTTTTTAAACATACCTCGTACGTATAACTTTGATATTCAATTATTTAAGCGAATGACTGGAAATAATCTGAAGTTTTTCTTAAATTCAGTTAAGAGAATATTTGGCATCCCTAGTAGGAGCGCAAACCTACACGTTGGTAGTTGTTAAAATAATTTAATCGTATTATTTCCATTAGGGAGAATTACATCCAATAAATTTGGCGGTGGTCTATTTAAAGGTATTTCCACCGTTTAAAGAGCTTACTAAACAGCTCGCAGCGTATAACATATATGTATATCTATGTAAATTTTCGCGCACATATTTCACACATCGGTACTTAAGTGTACTTAGGTCAAGCAAACTCCATAAGGATTATTTTTCGTTTCAGATATAAAGAACTTCAACACCCAGCCCCGTCCCTTTTCCTTAGTTATGTAAAATTTTATATCCAAAAATCGAAGCGCTTAATACAATAACCCTATACATGCTGCTCTGATTTTAGTAAGCGAGAGACTTTCACATCTGGGAGCTCTTCTAAAAATTTTTGAACGCGATGATTTATTTTTGTTTTTAATTTCAAATACTTCAAATATTTATTATGGAGTCTCCTTGATCTAAGAATTTCATTAACAGCAATTTTGTAACACTGCCTTCCAGCGTCGTTATTGGCTTTGTATCTCACTTTGCAATAATCGCTTTATTAGCTAGCTGAGCCTTACTGATATTATTTTTTATTTCTGTGATTCCATCACTTATCCGCCTAACAATTGTCTTCTAACGTAATAACATGCAGATCGTAATACCTCACTAAACGTTGTTTGGCCTCCGCTTCCTCCAGAGGAATCAGAAGTACCAACAGCTTGTCCTATTTATTTACCTCCCCCTTCACATGTAAAAGTTAAAACAATTGAAAATTCTTGCGCTAAACAGATATCCAAAGAATATTCCACAGAAAAGTGCAAGGTTGAAAAAACACAAAGTGAAGGACAATCTACAACTCAAGAAGTTTCTAGCTTGAACGCTGCTAACCTATCTAGATTAAACGAATGTTTTGAACGAGACATTATGAGTTATGTTACGAGTGATATTGGACAGTATTCTTCTCACTACTCGGATACCTCCAGTATTTCTGGTAGAAAAAGTACTCAGGAATGTGTAGAAATTTTACACGAAGTTATTGATAATCAGAGATTGATTGAAAATTTAAAAAGAACCCGACCGTTATTTGTTGAAACTGATGACAGTAATTTAAGTCACGGACAGCCAATGTGGGAAGCTAAGTCTGTACTTAAAGAAGGTTCGTGTGTTCCAATAGTTAATACTCGACATGAGGAAGTAAGCAGTCATCTGTCAGCAAAATCAGAAATGGCCAACATCGCCTCTTCAACTGCTATTCAAACATCTACCAAACAAGAAAAGAAGGATATAGTTTCCACGACATCTCATGAATCGCCTTCCGCCTGTTCAATTAAATTAAATAGGTACACGAAGAAAGTTGAAAATGCTGTTCCACATGAATACGAATCTCCCATGGTTTTAGCGTTAACTGTTGCTTCCGATAGGCCTTTTTCACAAATGCAAGTTGAAATAACTAAATCGGAACACACAAGGCTTGATGACATTGCACAAGAAGTGACAACTACCGAAGAGGTTACTTCTTCCTCTTCATCGGCACAGCACTCAACTCAGTTGCAGCAGGTCACGTCATCACAGATCGAACAAAAATTAGAGCAAACAGCCCATCAACAAAATTTCCAAATCGAAGAGGAGAAATCGATATCTAAAAGTACTTTTGAGGCGATACCCGAAAAGATATCGTCGTCGGCATTTGCTAATGCTTTGGTGACAGCTCCTGCCGAACCATTTGGCATTTGTCAAACACCAACAGAACCAGTGTCTCTACCTGAAGAGACAAGACCGTATTTTCCTCCTAGTGACTTATTTGCCGTAAAAATAAGTAGCAAGTCTGAAGAAGAAATCAAGAAATCGGAAAAGTTATCTCGCTTCAGAAAGAAAAAAGACGAACTGGATGATATCTTCAAAGACCTACCAAAACCTACTCAAAAAATAGACTTACTATCTGCTCTTACAACTGCACCCGATAGACCATTTTCACCCCTACCTGCAAAACCAGAAGAAGATATTTCTGAAGTTATTGAAGCTGCAGAAAGTTTAGAAAATGTGGATGCCAAACAAGAAATAACTTCTATAGATAAATCGGTAGAATTATTAAAACCATGCGTTCCTAAAGGCTTTAAAGCAACTGACTATACTGAAAGTAAATCTTCGGTCACCGAAGAAGCAAAAGTAGCAACTTGTAAAAATGTAGAACACATTTCTGTACGCAAACACAGAACCCTGGAAGCTTCTGATTGTAAATCAAAAGCCGCCGAATGTAAATCAAAAACTGTTGAAAGTAAGTCACAGGTGAGTTCGCAACCTAAAAAAGCCGATTATCGACAAACAGACTCTAATAAATGCAGTTCATCCAAAAAGCAGGAGTGCAGTGGTGTTCAATCTATATATTTTAAAGATCAAAAAATTGATTATTCAACAAAAGTAGAAAACGCTGAAAAACAAATTCAACCAGCAGAGCAGGGTCCTTTAAAAATTATACAAGACAATACTACTAAATCTGCTGTTACAGCAGATACACTAACGAAGTGTTCAAAAATACCTAAACCGCAGCCAGAAATAAAGGCTACTGAGTATAAAGAGGTTCGAGTAAGTTCTGAAAAACAAGTTTCTGCAACATCTGCAAGACAAATACACGAAGAACGCCACGTGTCACGTATTTCGTCACAAGCAACATCTCAAATACCAACTAAGGTACCTGTTACAGCTATTAATCATGGCGAATATCAACAGAGGAGCATACCTGGAACAACATTCCAACCTGTATTAGACGAGAAACCGTGTAATAAAAGTTTCTCCCCCAGGCCAAGATCTATAACCCCGAGCATGATCAATAAAGCACCTCCTTTAATTCCGGCGTATCAAGCAATGCTAGTTCCGATGGAATGTTTGCCTGCTCCTACAAATGTTTTTGATCCAACAAGTCCAAGTAGCTCAAGAGCTCCTAGTCCATGTCCAGGTAGAATTTCAGCTTCAAGTGGACGAGCATCACCGTTCCCAAGTAAAACTTCTGTTCGTTCAATAAGTCCTGCTCCAGGGCCGCCTAGAAACCCTCTAGAAATCATAAATCCAAAACCACAACCTAGTCCTCGGGTTATAGAAGCAAAGTCCAACATCGCGACTGCTTATCAGAAAAATAGTGAAGATCGCGTAAAACAAGTGAAAGCAGCAAAGTATGCACTGGAAAAAGTATCGTCTGATGTAGCGGCATCTCAAAGCGCCTATCTAAGTGAAACCGGCGATAGAGTAATGTCTCAAACTTGTACCGCTCAACGCGGTCGTGAGCAACAACTTGAAGAACAAATGCAGGCGCAGTCAGAATCTGTAGAAGTCACTCGAGATAAAAATGTTCAGATTCAACGGAAAAAGAAAGTTGTAGAGGAATATGAGCACTCCCAAAAATCGAAAACAGTAGAAATTGCAAAATCTACATTAACCACAAAATCCAGATTGGTCGGCGGTGATTGTCAAGTAGCAGTTAGTGGAATGCACGTTACAAATCCACAGCCACTGAAAAATCCTTTCCAGCCGAAATCAATAACCGAGATGCCAAAGAAATCAATTAACGGGATTGAAGATGTTACGAGGGAAGAAACTAAAATAGACACCTCATCTGCAAATGGTGACGTAGACTCGTGTCAAAATAAATCTTGCACTTTCGCTGCTTCAGGTATACCAAAATTAGTAAAAACTAAAAGTTTTCCAACTTCTGGTTCCTCTCCAAAGCCATTTATTCCTCCTCCTCCTCCTCCACCATGTGATAATGTAACGAAGCCCTTTGTTTCCCAACCCAATGCAGGTTCCGGTAGTGGTCGTCAAGTTGGTGCTATAGGCTTTAGTCCCAAACGGGGCCGAGGGGTCCTCAATTTAGGTGGTGGCTCAAGAGTTCCTTTATGTGGCCATTGTCATAGAAACATCAGGTACTTGGACAATCCCTTTAAGACTATTTTCTTTAACAGCTTGTAACACTCACTGTACCACTTACACCAAGCGCTTTGTCGTTTTTACCTTCTTGCAGTGTCGATGATGACTTGCTAATAGGCTTTTCTTCATAGTGTTATTAAAGTGTATATATATATTCGATTGAAAAAAGAAATCCGTCAAAAATATTCAAGAATTGTATTGTGTTTTTGTTGTGAAAAATATAACAACTGCTAGAGAAACGTTGACATTAACTTCTAATTTCGCTTATGCAGTGTTTTTCGTTTAACAGATTGTAGGAGTGATATTAATACCCAAACTAACCAAAATAACGAATTCGAGGGAGAAAGAAGCTCCGAAAGTAATAAGAATGAAGTTGACGACAAACTTAAGGAGTTCAGCGAAATTACAATTACTATACCACATCACAAATCCAACGAACCATTTTCACTTGAAAGCACATCACCAGGCTCAAATTGCTCCTCCTTGTCTTCTGGAAACATAAATTACCACAAGCAGACAGCCAGTGAAAGTTCTGATTCTGGAAAACCAGAAAGTTTGCACGATGGTGATCTTCACTATGGTCCCAGAATAAGTAGTTCAGAGGATCTACACTCCAGCATGGAACTGAGTTTAGGAAATAGTAATGGTGTATCGGAAACCGACAATTGCAGTAACACTTCTTTGATTATGTTGGATCATGCGTATCCAAATAACGATGAAAAGGTTTCCCTTTCACAGCTCTCGTCAATACTCAAAGAAAAAGCCAAAACTTACAGAGAAATGACCGCTTCTTCGGAAAAGCAAAATTTTACGTATAAACATTTTGCAAACGCAGAGGAAAGCAATAGTCTCTACCCGGAAGACGTATTAACAAGTGTGCCAATATGTAACCAATGTAACAAAAAAATAACAAGGTAGCATGTCTTCTTTTTTGCTTTCATTGATGTATCCGTACAAGTTCCGGAAAATCCTTCTACTAATGCCTCATGTATCTTTATGTTTTAGAGGACCGTTTGTAACTGCTTTAGGAAAGATTTGGTGCCCTGAGCACTTTTCTTGTGCAACTCCTTCTTGTAAACGCCCTCTCCAAGATCTTGGCTTTGTAGAAGAACAAGGCCAATTGTATTGTGAATATTGCTTCGAAAGGTACCTGGCGCCGAATTGCTCCAAATGCGGTGCCAAAGTAAAAGCGGTAAGTACATTACATACAATAAAATCATTATATTATTACGATATTAATTATGAATGGAGGGAGAATTAAACTTATGTACTGTTCGTTTCAAGAAGTTAGAGATATGTCAATCATAATTGTCTGCGGAGCTCATTTCTCCACCGATCATCGAGCGAGAACTAGACATAGAACTACCATTTGCAAAATTATTTAAACTGTCTCGTTAAAATTTAAGAATATGCTTTATTTAAAAGCATATTAAGCCAAAAATAATAACAAGTGAATTAACTTAACGTTCCACACACCTATAAAACTTTTGCTTTGTTTTCTATTNTTTGACACTCCTACCATTTCTGCGAGCTGTTTTTTCTTAAGTCGGGCATCTTCTACTATTAATTTTTCGATTTTTTAAATGATTTCCGGAGTGGTCAACTCGATCGGCCAGCCTGGCCGTAGGTCGTCTTCAAGTGAATCCCTGCCTTACTTAAAGAGGGTATGCTACTTGTAAATCATAGTTCTACATGGGCAAGAGTCCCCGTAAACGGAAGACATCTCTTCTAGTATGGTTTGAATTGACTTTCTTTGCTTGGTAAAGAACTCTACAACAGCGCGCTGCTCGATTTTCTCCATATTTCCCGATTGACTTGTTTCGTCGACGACAGTTTAAAGATTACTGACCTAATTACGATAAAAAGCTTGGTATTTATACTAATAATGAGGTATTTAATACCTAATGACTCGAGTAAGCACCCTCACTAATGACCTACCTATCCATTCCGCGAACATAAAAATGCACCCTCGTACATAGAAACTGTACTCCTGTTATCCAATTATTTCATGCACGAATAAAGTAATTTAGCTTGAGTTAATCAACTTTTGTATTTTTTGGAATACTAAAAACTAAAAGGGCGTTTGAACTTGCATTAATTTGTTCTTTGCTGCTTTTTCAAGGGTCGGTTATGATTTATCTTAATAATAATTTAGAAATGAAAAAGAACAAATCAAAAATATAACAATCATATTTATTGAGACTTTGTTTTGCAAGTGTTTTGTTTTACAAACGCATTTCAGAAGATATGAAGTTGTTTAACGATACGTCGAAATATATAAGTTATAAAGTAAAATGCCTACACTTGACTTGACAGCAATTATTGCATCTCGCAACTTAATTGAAAAAGTCGATAGAGCAAGTTTGAAGCTCTTACATTCCTTTCTGACTACGCCATTGATAACAAGTTCTGCTATGCCTATATTCGATCTGCCACTGTTCTAAAGTTGAACTGAGTACTTTTGTAATACTTCATAATACTTTTTGCATACATGAAAAAACGATATCACATCCATCTTGTTTTAGGTATAAAGTGCACAAGGTAAGTACAACTTTATTTATTAAACGTATTAATTGATTAATCGAAATAATAGATTATTTAGATTAATCGATCATTTTTACAAACTGCAGATAATCGATTAATTGAATCCCTCGGATGCGTTTTGATATAGATATTATTCTACACATTCATCGGATAATTTTTCCAAAATTAAAATCTAACTTGACTCCACTAAATGTTTTTGAAAATTTGAAAACTTATATTATGAATGCCAAAAATCAATCTAGGGTTGGAAAAGACATAGTTGAGGTATTTTAAAAAGTAATCAGTTCAGCTTTGGAATCAGAATGGAGCAATAGAATGCATTTCTTAGCAGTTTTCTGATTTTTATTTTTTTTTTAGCTTTATCATTCCAATTTCTTGATCAACCACACATAAAACATAATTTCTTTTTGAATGCTCTCCCCATTTACATATTTTTCTCATTAATGTATTTACATACTAACGCTACGTTTTATCATGCTCTTAGAAACTGATATAAACGTTATTGTAATAAAACTAGAAAGTAGAAAAGAAGCTATTGATAAATTGTAAAAGTTATAGATTGCAATAAAAAATTTATTGGGATTCATTATTTTCTAGTCCGGACCCAACATATCAGGACCGAGACCATTCTCCAGTGGTCCTCTTTCGCCCTCCGGAAATAGCTACTCCACCCTTCCCAAAGTTACTTCCACACCTCTTTCATCAGGTAGGCGTTATTTGTGTAATTAAAAGTTAATTGATATTTTCTGAATTTAAGAATTAATTTAGCTTTGTATTATTTAATCGTAATACGTTATGTGAAAATGACATAACTTTGAATTACGAAGATTGAACTTTTGTCTATATATACGAGGTCTATTCAAAAAGTATCGCGAATATTGAATTTCCGCGGGTTAGGTATATTCGATTTTCGATTCTTTTGCAGCGTTATGTTGGTACTCATGTGTTTCACTTATACCGATAAGTTCGGTCATGTTAAATGTTCAGTTAATTTTTGACAGCTGCTTTGCTTTTACGTTTTTTGGCTCGTCTTCGATTTCTGGCTATTCCAAAAAATGGATCAAAGAGTCTATAGCAAATTTTGTGTGAAAAACGAAAATAAGTGCGCGGATGCTTTCTGAATGTTAACTGGGGCATATGGCGACGCTACCTTGGACCGAAGCAACGTTCATCGGTAGTACAAAATGTTCTCAGAGAACCGAGAAGATGTGAACGACGAAGAGTGTGTCGGACGCTTGAGTTCGTCAACAACGGACAACAACATTGATGAAGTCAAGAAAATAGTATTGACCAATCGTCGAAACACCGTTAAAAAGGTTGCTGAGGACCTAAACATATCGAGCCATTCAATTTTTACCAATAATCTGGGCATGAGACGGACCGCCACGAAATTCGTAACAACTGCTCAATTTCTATCAAAAACAGCATCACATTAACATTGCTAAGGAGCTGTTGAAAACCAAAGCTCTATCATCTCAATGGATGTTGCCGCACGAGCCAAGACTGAAAAAACCGCGCCAAGTTAGGTCGAATGAGAAGGTTTTGCTTACAGTTTTCTTCGATTGCAAGGGCGTGGTGCATCATGAGTCCTTGCCATAGGATATAACGATCAATAAAGAATATTACGTGCAAGTTATGTGCAATTTGCGAGAAGCAATTCGCCAGAAATGCCCGCATTTGTGAATGAACAAAAATTGGCTTTTGCACCATGATAACGCCTCTGCTCACACATTGTTGCTTGTGCGCGTATTTTGGGTAAAAAACAACGCACTGATATTGTCGCAGCCACCGTATTCCCCAGATCTGGCCCCCTGTGACTTTTTCTTGTTCCCGAAACTGAAGAGGTCCATGGAAGCACGACGCTAGGCTACGATTGAGGAGATTGGAAATAACGTTGGTACAAGTGACTAATATCTGATGGAGATTACTTTGAATGGGACAAAATAGATGTACAGACGACTCTGTACGTTACACGTCCATTTAAAAAAGAACTTCGGTGTAACTATTTCTATATTTTGTTTTTGGATATTAACCGTTAAAAGATTGGAATGAAATATTTAGAAACTGCTAAACTATTTATTATATTTACAAAGGAATTAAAAGTGAACAAAGTGAACGTCTACAATGATACTGATAGAATGCTTTCTGTACAACTTAAAACTAACTTAAATACATAAACAGACCTCCTGAAGGGAGAGAGGGTGAACAGGCTGTACCAAGCTAGTAATAATTAAGCAGTACAGATATTTTGACCCAAGGGGTCCGACAAAGGTACCTGAAGGGCAATAAACTGAACAAAATAGGACTTCACAATTGCCTGAAACATGTTGTTAACTTGGATGAAATATTTTTGTGAATTCCCACATAACTATAGAATTAAAATATATGTATATACAGTCAGGACTGAACATGCCGCCCACCTTGAACGACTATGTTTAATAAGAAAAAAAAGCAAATCTAAATACGAAAAAAAAAATGGTAAAAATAATTAAATGAAAAACATTAAAGTGCTAACAATCTGAGTTCTTATTCACACTTATTTGAGAACCGGCAGCACGCACACTTTTTTCACTGTTCTCGTAAAGGATCCACTCGCGGTTTTTACGGTCACTACTCGAATGACTTTATCTTCACCGGGATGCACTGCCTCTACACGCCCCAATTTCCAATGCCGTGGTG